TCTAGGTTATTCCTTGTATGGTAAATCAATTCAGAAAGATATATTCACAACTAGGCATTTATGGAATGAAGCAACTTTACAGGCCAACGTTGATTCACGTGTTAAAACCTATGAGAAAATTAATGATACTCAATATATTGTTGAAACAGAAATTGAAGAAAAAGAGATTACTACCGAAGATAGTAAATCTACACGACTAACACCTAGTCATTTGGGATCATTCGTTTTATCTCACAGTAAAAAAATAATGAACAATTTCATTCACGTCATAAATGGATTTTATAAACCCGAAATATACTATACCGACACCGATAGTTTGTACATTTCATCAAAAAATTGGAAAAAACTAAACAGAGCTGGTTTGGTCTCCGAAAAAGACTATTGCAAAGGTAAAAACGATTACGGTGACGGTGGAATTATATTCGGTTTATATTTAGCACCAAAAGTCAAATACAACATCGTTTTGACTTCTGATGGTGTTTTAAAAGAAAAGAAAACGTTTAAAGGTTATTCTAATGATAAGATAAGTGTGGAAGATTACGTTCAGTTAGCAAGCGGACATGATGTGTCGAACGAATTTAAGAAACCATGGGAAAAAAGTTTCACCAATGGAGTAGTTATTCCAAATGATAAACAAACTAAAGTTTTTAGAAGTTATTTGAATAATGTTAAAAGAAAACCACCAAACAGTGAAGGAATTATGTATCCTTACAACGACAAAGATGAGTATAGTTTTGATGAAAACTATGAATTTGATGATTTCGACTATCTTACTATTCAAGACGAGAATGAAGATTGTTTTAAATGAAGTTGAATGACAATTTCTTCGTAGCCAAAGTCTATGAACCTGTTTTTACCGTCTTTGATTTCCAGATTTATATCTTTGATCATGAAAGAATTGACTGGTAAATAGGTCGTTTGAAACGGTTTCTCTATAATTCTGTATCCGATCGGCACCGTAAAAGTCGGTATGCTGTATATGATTTGGCGTTTGTGCTTGTTGAAAAATCCACCGTTGATCAAATTACAGTGAATGTTGATCACGTCGATGTCGTTCTCGATGTTGGCCTTGTGCGGCGCCAATGTCGATTGCGCGTATATTTGTTTATCGAACCCTAGTAACGCATTCAACGAATTTTCTACGTTGAAATCGACTTGACTGTTATTTCTCAAGATCAGTTTTATTTTCTTCAGATTCAAATTACCTTCGAATTCGATATTGTTTTTACCGTTCACGCTTCCTGCGTATTCGGATAGGTAATCGTTGATGGCTACGTATTCGTAGCTTCCCGCTAGTAAGCTTATGATTTTGAACGTAACTCCGTTATCCGTCGATATTTTTAGTTGATTGTTTTTTTCGTTGATGTTTCTAATGGAATTGTAAACGGAGAAATACTTTAATCCCAGTTCGTACTGTTTATTGCGATCGAGTTCATACTCGTAGTCTAGAGACAATTTGATGTCTGATTTATTCGAGGTGATAACGAACAATTGTTCTTTATTGGACATTTTTAATGACGTTTATATAGTCTTTTTTAGTGATGATTTTTTTCTCCAAAAGCCGTTTTAATATGCCATTGACTTCGTCTTATTGTCTGTCCGATCGATGACCTTCTGATATGGCCGCTAATATTATTTCTAATCTATTAAGCAATTCTTTATTGTTGTCGGATAAAAAAGTTATACCTTGTCCAGATGCCACCATATCATCAAATTCGTCTATTTCTTGTATGATTGGATAATCTTCTGCATAATCATCTACATCCTCTTCATCATGTTCAATTACTCTTTTATATAATTTAACTTCTTTCGATCTTCTTGTTTCGGGTCCCGACTTTCTTATTGCATCTAGAAATTTTGAGTATGCTACTAAATCCTTGTAATCGGCAATTTCAACGTCCTGGCCATTCATTAAATCTATTAACCCTCTCGTTAATGTGTATATGTAATCTTTTGTATCGATTTTGAATTGTGGTGAATTTCCACTAAATCTTATTCTAAAACCATTGAACAACAAACCCGCTTCATCAATGATTGGTGAAATGCTCTTTGGTAAATCTGGGTCAGGGTTTGAAAAATAATGTTTTACATCATCTACTGTCCTAATTATAACACCACTATATTCAATCGCTTTGGGGTGATGAGGTGTGGGTTCTATACGAGGCGTAGGTTCTAAAGCTAATTCCTTTTTAATATCCTCTTGCGTTTTTAATATGGGTTGAAATAGTGTCTGTAGATTTTCCGTTAATCCCAGTTGTTGTAATCTGTTATTTTCAACTTGGGTCTTTATTTTATTCTTAGCTTTGATATATTCTCTATTTCTTTTTAAAATATTATTCCAATCCGTCATTTTTAAAAAAATAAAATTAACATATATCGATCATAACTCTTTCACCCGCAGGTTTTCTAGTATTTACAAATACATATCCATGATCATCCGGGTTTCTCCATTGAGCTTTACAAACCTTTTTAAACGTGTCTCTGTCCATTCCGTGATTTATTGACTGAATAATTTGAGATAAATCTTTGTCGTTTAATTCGAATAATAAAAAACAATTTGCGTTCTCTCTGATAAACATGGCGTCCATTCCGTAGAAAGATTGGGATTGGTATATGCAGTGACAGTTGTGATGTCTTCCTTTTGTGAAGAATTCTTGTTGAACGGTTTGACTTTTTTGTGCCACGCAGTCGTCAAAGACAATCAAGTTCTTTTGGTGGTTGTCGATTTTAGACAAGTCTTAATCGTTGACGTTTTTAGTCAGAAACACTTTTACGTCGGTCGGTTTCAGAGAAGGATTTTTTTCTTTGATAAACCCGTCTAAAATGTCTTTTATTTCCGTGTTCTCTTGCAAGTCTTCGTTGCTTTCGTAGTAGTGAAAAATGTCTTGAACTTCTTCTTTCGAGATGTATTCCAAAGCTTTGAGAAACTGATAATAGGATTGTTCGGGAGTAGTCGTGTAAATATACAGAGACTCGAAATCTAAAAGGTTCGGTGTTGTCAACATGTTAAAAGTGAGATAAGTCTTTCCACAACCCGAAGATCCGCAAATGCACATGAGCATGGGGTTGCTAGGAAATATGTCCGAATGTTTGATTTTCTTGCCCATTTTCAATTATTACATTTTCGTACCAAAAATCACACCGTTGCCTTTATACTTTGAAAGAAAGATTCCTTCGCCCGAACGTATGTTTTTAGAAAATATGGCGTTGTCCTTGTGTTTGACTTTTATTTCTCCGGTGTCAATATTATCTATTAATTTGCTTAATCCCTCTTTAACGGTTTTCTTGGTTTTTTCGCTAAATCTTCGTACGAATTCTTTGACCGTCCCTAATATATCTCCTACTCCCGAACCTCCTCGTGCTTCTCTTTCCATTGCCAAATTGTGTCTACGTGCTTCGGCGTTTGCAGCGGCTTCAGCTTTCTTTGCGTTGACAGCTTAGGCTATCCCAGCAGCTCCACCAGCAGTTGCACCAGCTGCAGCTAAACCAGCAAAGATTAAAGGTAAGAAAGGTAAAAATCCACCTTTTTTAGTTAAATTCTCATCAATTCTCTCCAAGTCTCTCTGACTTTGCAAGGTTTGTATTTATCGATAATCTTTTGGGTTATGTTCACTTTTCTACCGTTGTAAGTTATTAGAGTCGGCGAATTCATTTCGATAGCTTCTATTATTTTCAGAACTAAAGTTTCTGGTTTCATTTTTAAAGGGTGTTTTTTTATTCAATTCTTATCATTCTTCTATCTGATATTCTAATCAAATGTTTTGCTTCTTCCAGCAATAAACAGTAGCCGGTCACATCTCCTTGTGTTTTATCGATGTGAATATTTATGTTTACCCCTGTTTTGAAAAGATCTTCTTGATGAGCTGACAGATCGAAACAAAAGATTGGATGATTGAGTGAAAAATCTGTGTATTCAAACTGAGGTGTGTTTCCAAACAATTCGCACATGTTTTTATAGTTTCTGTACAATTCGTTGTAATCTTTTTTGAAAGGATCAATTGTCAAAGGTTGATTGGGATAATTATCGTTGTTCAATCTGACTTGAACTTTGCGAATGATGGGATCTTGAGTATGGTTCAATGCCACTCTGAAAATGTTGTAGTTGTTTGTCTGAGAGTCTGGCAAGTTTTTGAAACCGACCATTAGATATCTCGCTGGTTTGACGGTGTTGGTGATTGGCCACGTGGTGGATTCTCCCGTTAAAGTCATGCTACCTACCGTGTTACGACGAAGAAAAGCAATTTCGATGTCTTTGGTTAAAGAGTTGAATATTCTCGTTTCCACTTTTACGGAAGGAGTGATTACCGGTATGTAAAGTTGGATATTCGTTATTTCCAATTTTGCGTCAGAGTTGTTTTCACCAAAGAATATCTTGTTGTCGTTGATTTCTCTTTGCAAATGAATTTTATACGGCAAACCTATGTGTTCCAAGAGACCAAATAAAGGATACAACTTCCAATTTACGTAATTACCCCATCTGTTGTTCTCGAGAACATTGTTTTATTGAAGCGCTCGTTTTTCAAATCCGTGAATCACTCTTTCCAGTGTGTTTCTAGCAACTACCCTTATCCTAGCAAGGTCTGCGTCATTTGCTACAGTTCTGACCGGTTCTTTTAAAACTTCTCCGTCACCGACATCGGGAATCCATCCAGAAACTGAATCGTAGTTTTTGGGATACAGAACCGTTTTCAACATTGTGTCAAACTCGCCGGTGTGTTTTATGGTCTCTATCGGGCAGCTTCCAAAACCATTTCGCTGAATAAAGACGGAATGAAGTTGTTTTCTAAAGTCGTGTTGGTTTGTGGAATTCGATTCTAAGTGGCGTCTTTGATTTTGAAATCGCATCGGAAATGGGCATCGGAAAGCAGCAACCAATTGGACAACGAATTAATTTCAAAGGTAACCCTTCCTCCGTCGTTTATTTGGGTCTTTGTCGCTACCGATGGTAAGATGATTACGTAATCCTCTTTCTTCTTGTTTAACGAATATTGAATCGGATCATACAATTGAAAGATTGGATCCAATCTGTAATTTTTGCTTGCCATTTTTATCCAATGATTTTAAACCCTTTCCCTTGTTTTTCTAGAGCTTGTCGTTCTAGTCTCTTGTTTCTTAGTTCTCTTATTAGTTGCAGTTCTTTAAGTTCGTCAGATTTTTTCACTGCATCGCTTATATTTACTCCTGCTTTTGCCACCAATCCAAGAGCTCGCGCTTCAGAGGAAATAAGGGATTTGTGGTTTGAGACAAAGTTGGCCACTTTGGGGATGAGAGATGTTAGCACAGAGAAGAAACCGTCTCCTTCGAATTTTTATTTTCGTGTTTTAAAATTAAAGACATTTTTATTTTTTTTTAATGCGCTTATTTTATACTGTATTATTTTAGTGAATCTTGTCTGTGGTTTTGGGTAATGTATAATACAGTTTGGAGGAGTCTGTTATGATATATTTTTTTAACAGTTTGGGGAGTCTGTTATAATATATTTTAACAGTTTGGGGAGTCTGTTATAATACATTTTAACAGTTGTGTGTTTTCGGATATGACGCATGAAAAAGCTGCGAATGCGCAGAAGTGAAATGCGTCATATCCGAAAACACATATACTACTACCGTTTGCAACAAAAATCATACCTCTAGGGTCAAAATTGGCTGAGTTATGGCCATTTTAGCGCGGGGGTGGGGGGGCGGCAGGCAGCCTATACAGTCTCTATGCAATCTAGTGGCAGCGGTCCAGGTGATGACCAAATCTTTGACAGGCTGCCGTTCGAAAACTATCAGAGATGGAAAGCTGAAATTTGCCCTGCAGGTCCGGACCCATCTGAAGTTGTACTGTTGCAAATTTCAAGTTCCTACCGTGAAAACTCTGCCAGTTGCAGCACTTTTGGTCTCAGACTTTTTCTCCAAACCAAAACATAAGCCAGTTTCCACTTGAAATTGAGGGTGTAACTTCAAAATCGATTTTCTCCAAAGATTTCAAAAAATGCGAATTTGTGTTTTCGACTGAAAGAGATAGAAGACATGATAAACTACCGTTTGCAACAAAAATCATATCTCTAGGGTCAAAATTGGCTGAGTTATGGCCATTTTAGCTCGGGGGTGGGGGGCGGCAGGCAGCCTATACAGTCTCTATGCAATCTAGTGGCAGCAGTCCAGGTGAAGACCAAATATTTGACAGACTGCCGTTCGAAAACTATCAGAGGTGGAAAGCTGAAATTTGCACTGCAGGTCCGGACCCATCTGAAGTTGTACTGTTGCAAATTTCAAGTTCCTACCGTGAAAACTCTGCCAGTTGCAGCACTTTTGGTCTCACACTTTTTCTCCAAACTAAAACATAAGCCAGTTTCCACTTGAAATTGAGGGTGCAACTTCAAAATCGATTTTCTCCAAAGATTTAAAAAAATGCGAATTTGTGTTTTCGACTGAAACAGATAGAAGACATGTTAAACTACCGGTGGAGACCAAATCTTTGACAGGCTGCCGTTCAAAAACTATCAGAGATGGAAAGCTGAAATTTGCACTGCAGGTCCGGACCCATCTGAAGTTGTACTGTTGCAAATTTCAAGTTCCTACCGGTCGAAAACTATCAGAGGTGGAAAGCTGAAATTTGCACTGCAGGTCCGGACCCATCTGAAGTTGTACTGTTGCAAATTTCAAGTTCCTACCGTGAAAACTCTGCCAGTTGCAGCACTTTTGGTCTCAGACTTTTTCTCCAAACCAAAACATAAGCCAGTTTCCACTTGAAATTGAGGGTGCAACTTCAAAATCGATTATCTCCAAAGATTTCAAAAAATGCGAATTTGTGTTTTCAACTGAAACAGATAGAAGACATGTTAAACTACCGGTGAAGACCAAATCTTTGACAGGCTGCCGTTCGAAAACTATCAGAGATGGAAAGCTGAAATTTGCACTGCAGGTCCGGACCCATCTGAAGTTGTAATTTTGCAAATTTCAAGTTCCTACCGTGAAAACTCTGCCAGTTGCAGCACTTTTGGTCTCAGACTTTTTCCCCAAACAAAAACATAAGCCAGTTTCCACTTGAAATTGAGGGTGCAACTTCAAAATCGATTTTCTCCAAAGATTTCAAAAAATGCGAATTTGTGTTTTCGACTGAAAGAGATAGAAGACATGTTAAACTACCGTTTGCAACAAAAATCATACCTCTAGGGTCAAAATTGGCTGAGGAGTTATGGCCATTTTAGCGCGGGGGTGGGGGGCGGCAGGCAGCCTATACAGTCTCTATGCAATCTAGTGGCAGCGGTCCAAGTGAAGACCAAATCTTTGACAGGCTGCCGTTCGAAAACTATCAGAGATGGAAAGCTGAAATTTGCACTGCAGGTCCGGACCCATCTGAAGTTGTACTGTTGCAAATTTCAAGTTCCTTCCGTAAAAACTCTGCCAGTTGCAGCACTTTTGGTCTCAGACTTTTTCTCCAAACCAAAACATAAGCCAGTTTCCACTTGAAATTAAGGGTGCAACTTCAAAATCGATTTTCTCCAAAGATTTCAAAAAATGCGAATTTGTGTTTTCGACTGAAACAGATAGAAGACATGTAAAACTACCGTTTGCAACAAAAATCATACCTCTAGGGTCAAAATTGGCTGAGTTGTGGCCATTTTTTCGCGGGGGTGGGGGGCGGCAGGCAGCCTATACAGGCTCTATGCAATCTAGTGGCA